AAAAAAAAAAAAAAAAAAAAAAAAAAAAAAAAAAAAAAAAAAGGAAATCTAGGAGTAAAAAAAGAAAAACATGGGTAATCTCTGCAGTAGCCGTTCTTCTCACTAATATCCACCAGTGAGTGAAATAAAGCCCGGGAGATCCTGGCTAAAGTCGGCGAGGGGGTCGCAAAAGCTGGCCCATCCTCTTTCTCTCTCTATCCTGAACCAGGCAGGGGTGTGGTCTTGGCGGTCCGCAACTTCGGAACTATAGGTAGTATTTATCGCATATTAAAATGCTCGCTCGTCATGAATAATAAGACTGACACGTTGTACTCCGTCGTTCGCGATAAGTGGAATTTGGCCTACGGAGGAACTCGGCCTATTGATTCGTTCCGCAGTCGCTGACCAAATATGGAGACGCGATTACATAAAGAAACCCTGGGGGGAGAGTTTGTTGTGTCTTGTGTCTGTCTTGTCTGTCTGTCACCAAAAGAGTCAGTTGGCCCGAAAGGTGGGCTTGCGGCCGACGATTATCGTTGAGCTCCCCCCGTTAGAAACAATTTGAGTCATTGTTCTTGGAGCTTGGGCCTTATCGTTAACACTAGGGAAGGTAGCTACCTAGAAGTGTAGCCGATATTAGTTGGGGGAGCATCGGCGGCGTAGACAGACAGTCTGATCTTCCGTTGTGGGCCGGTGGGAGGAAAACAGAATCTAAGAGCGAGGCCCAGAAAAGGTTCAGATGCGCAAGTCCGACTACCGGACGGAGCGCGGAGTCCTCCGTTCCATCATGCTCGCAAATTCCCTATTGGTATGGCGGCGCCGAAAATCTCATATGGTCAATCGGTCAGGACGCAATCTCGTTAATCGCGCGATATGCCGTCTTGATCTCGTCCGTTCCCCCTAAAACCGCAGCAGCGCAGCAGGCACAAGGCTTTCGCTACCAGAGAGTCGTCACGGTCAATCATCAGGCACGGATTGGCGTACCGATTTCCGACCTGCGACTAAAAGTGTCCCCATCATCTTAAAGGTGCCTTAGTCTACCGACTTAATCAAAATCCTAAAGCGCCGTGAGAAATTGCTGATCTCCCCATTGGCTCCCTTCGAGAGATTTCCCTGCCATTTTTTTTTGAATTTGAATTTGAGTTTCTTGGAGATGGGGCGACGTCGGTCGCTTTCCTGATTTTCGTCTACTTCACTTACAACAACTAACCATATCCATGGCTCCATCTTTTGCTCCACAACAACAAAGGACAGAGGGGTGAGCCGCAGAGCCGTGGTGGGAATCATATCCCCAATGCAGTCAAGAACGGGAGTGTCTGCTCCATACGGTGTCCAAAGACAGGTCCACGGTAGGTATCAATGCCAGTACTGAGCGTTACCATCTCTTTGATACGCCTTCCAGTGAGAGTCGCAGTAGGGGATTAAAGAAAGTAGTAGTACTCACCACCGGGGGATGTGGTGTGCCACTATGGACAGTTCCTCGGCAAAATAAGGTGAGCTGAGCTGAGTGATTTCGCAATACCTGTAGATGATCATTTAGCGGCCAATCTTTTCTATCCAACCTGGGATAATTTAACCAGCCATCATATTCCATCGATGGCGCGAGAGGGATTTCACTTACACAACACATTCCCGAGACGAAGACGATTCGCAGAAATGGGATTGGCTACGGAGTACAAAGTAGCCGTTCCGCATTATATTCGAAGGTGACTGCGACTTCGTTCTGTAGGCTCAGGAACGTTGAAGAGGCAAAAAGGAAAAAAAAAATAAAAAAGAAAGAAAGAAAGAAAAAACAGAGAGAAAATAGAGAGAAAATAGAAACGAAAGAGGAGGCGCGTATTGCCTTCACACGCACACACACACTCTCCTCACCTTCCTAATTGACTCCATTGCCTCTTTTCCTTCCTCTCTAGGATTCAATCTATTACTTTGAAGATAGAATTGTAGTCTCGCGGTCTCCTTGAGCAGACGCCACTTGAGCCATGGCCAAAACATTCCAACTAAGACGCGCTGCCAGCTAGCCCAGCTACAAATACTATGCGCACGTGGAGCAGCTTAACACCTGAGATTACACCAAAATAGCTTGGTCACGGACGTGACATTTAACAGCGGAGCTATCCGCATAAGGCAAACCACTCAGCCCGTGAAGCCCTTTTTATTCTACGACTTAGCGACAGTGCCATACATATGTGGATAAAAGTCTTGCATATGCCACATATTGAAGGAGATACCGGACTCAGTAATCTTTCAATTGCATGTCATGTCGAAGCGAGCAAAAAAGAAATGGGATGGGAAGCAAGAAGAAAAAACGTAGAAAAAAGAAAGGAGAAAAAAGACGCACGCCCACATTATTTTTCCGTCAACAATTGGTGAATTACCCCTTTCATGTGCATAAGTTAGGCTTCCCCGATGGGGAACAATAATAACTGATCGTTTGGGATTGATCCAGCTTCCTGTGTTGTCAAGGTGGATCCCGACCGTTACTGGTTCGATACACATGCAATACATGCTTCTACTCCGAATAACTTACCTGCCCGTCATCTGGGTACCTCCTCGGAGGAAAAGACAGCAGAGGATATTGGTCGGGGACAGATGCATTGCGCATTCAATTCCAAGTTATTCATTGTGGCGCGGATAACCTGGTGAAGCGAGCAGGATATCCTGGTATAATCTTGTCGATTATGGGTGGCCACTGCTCCCTTAGAGGAAGGTCCATTCATTGTTTATCAGCTTCTCCAAGCGCAGCTGTGGAGGCGGACTCCGTACCAGTAATACTTAGAAAAGCAAAAAGTCCCGATCGACGCCCATCGCCCAAGTCTTAACCCATAACTAATCGGCCGCCGTCCCAAATTGTACTAGGCGTTGGCTGCGGCCTCTACTAAGGCCTTGGCTATTCTGAATCGCTGGTAGTATTACCCCATACATCCGGGGATGGGAGGCTTGATTCCGCTCTCGGGTGAGACTCTGGACGTCGCGTTCCAGCTTCTGGAGGCGTGAATGTGAAAGACAGCAGGGTGCAGTGGCTTCGCTAAAAGGACAAGAAGTGACATTTGCATCGGGTTGATCATTGCTCCAATCGAATGCTCGCTAAGTAATCATATCAAATTCAGCAGAGCCAATCATGCCCTTTCTTCCAGAGTCCTCCGAGATGACTTGATGTTGTTACTCTGGAGGTATGGTTGGATGGATGTAGTGGTATAATACTTATTATGAAACTGATACCAAATGTTATTATTGATTCCTGCGATCCACCCGCAACGCACATCGCTTGATGGTTGCCTTGTGACCAGCTGATTTTCACAAGCACCTTTCACTAAGATGATCGAATTATTGGAGTAGTATCTTCCTCCATTATATTCAACGCGAAATTGAGTAAGGTAAGTACTGCCGTGAAAGGGTGTGGGTTGATTGTCTAGTAAGTAGTGAACCGTACAAACAAGACCCACGACTAGACCATTGGAATGGCAGCTTGGACTGAGCTCATGATTGAGACACTGGATGGTAGATAGTAGGTAACCACTTAATTGATTATTATGGAGAGTACAGTAGTAAGTGTATCATCGGGATGCCTTCACCGGCAGTGGGTGTGTTAGTAGGTTCCGCCTGCGCGGGGTATAAACCAGGCGGAATACCAATCATCACCCGTCCATCTGCCCACCCCAAGACTTGTGGGCTGGAGCAGCATCCTTCCGAGATTGGAGCCTTGCATTTTTCTCACGTCCCCTTCTCCCCTCCCTCACGCCTGGCCTTCCTATCAAGAACTAGCTCACTAGCTCACCCTTTTCTGTATGGCCCTGGTAGGGTTGGTAGAGTAATATTAACCAACGTTGAGCATTGGCTGTGATTGTGCTGCTTCCGGAGTACTAGTGCCGGCATCTCGCTTCTGCATCGGCCGGTTGACTTTGGTCTTCGTATCACGTTTTCGATGCATTACCTGCGATGTTCAACCTTGTGCTTGTTCAGGATCGCATGTCTGGAAGAACATGATAGTATTTATAATACTTCGGACTACACTTGCGACTGTCTTGGGGTAATTTTCCCGGTTCTGAGCCGAGGAATCGCACCCCTAGATGCAACCATACGTACGATCATAATAATGATCATATTTCTGGACCTGGGTTATATCATTGATTCCTAATTGCCAATGGCCATTGCATTGTGTACAGGAATTGCTTGCATCCCTCTAAGCATGTCTCGATTCCGCACATATCATTCGTGAGATATCGTAATGCTCCTGGAGGGTGGCACCCCTGAAAGACATACCAAGGCACTTAGTAGACACCTACCTACTGGTTCAGTAGTTACTAGCAGCCAGCAAAAGTACAGCAGTCAACAGAACGCTCAAGCTGATAATGCTGAGTGAACGATCTTGGCTTGTCACTCTGCTCTCTGGCCTTACAACATGCCTGTTCCTACGGACATCGGAAGATCGTCTAACGCTTTTGACAGCATACTACTTAACTATCATCCTTCTTCACGATCTAGTCCAAGTAACTAGATACCCTTTGGCATATGAATAACATGCCACTAGCGTTGCCTATACGTCTAAAGGCTGTTTTGGCATCGAACCTAATTAGCCTGAAGGTCTGATACCCTCTGTATGTCGATTGGACTGAGACCCTCGTGTTCCCCACTGACGCGTTCCTGACTTGCGCGAAAGATAAGGATTCGACTGGTTACACCACCATCCTACTTAGATACTAGGCACTTTATACTGCATACATCTGACTGATCCGCTCTACCGTAGTTGCAGGTCTGAAGGGGGCTAAGGAACGCACAAAATCTCTCGATTTTGGGCTAGGTCGGAGAGCACATCGGAGATTGGTTCCCAATACAGGGGAGTAAGTACTTTGTACCATTTTTTCTGGGTCTGCGAGAGGAAGTCTTCCGATTTGAAGCGACAAAACGGAGTATTATGGAGAAGGAAGCTGTAGTTATCTCAGGTCAAGAAGTGACTCCACTGCATGACGTGCTTGTGATTGGCGAGCCCACGGGCATACTTCGGTTTGTTGTTCTTGTTCTCCCCCTGAAGGTCGGCCGTACCGCAACAGGTGACCGACTTGCAACTCTGCGGATACGGCTGGTAATGTTTTTCGTTTCTATCTCTCCCTTATTCCCACCAGTAACAGCAGCCAATTCAGCGCCTGTTCCACCTACTTACCCCCTCTTCCTCTCCCTCCTCTCCCTACCCTCCTCCTCTTCCTCTTTTCCCACCCCCTCCACAACTCTACTACTTGTCTTTTGCGATCAAGTCACTCTTCTTTTTTTTTTTTTTTTTTTTTTTTTTTTCTTCTAATTTATTATTATTCTAACATTACTTCCCTGACCGTGCCAGAAGCTACCATCGCCGGCATCAACCGCCGTCTCCTTACCACCGATATTCTCTTTTTAAATATAAATTGCTGCTATTGTTAGTATCGAGGATTTATAATACATTGGTGATATTGACTTTACCCGCTTACTACCCATTAAACTCGCGCCACTCGTTCCCCTTTCTTGTCACTTTGGACAGACAGACAGACAGACAAGACAGCCCAGCCCTCTTGTCGAGCCTCCACTATACTTTACTGTACGGACCCTGCACGCGGCCTTCGCTTCCCCCCGATTTGCGCTACGCCTACTTTCTCACTAGCCTTGAGTCTTTTCGCAGACCGTTCCAAGCCGTTCCTCGGGCACGCCATCCCTAGCCCATCGTCGTTTGGCTCACTAAGGTCGAATTACCTACTCCCGCAGCCGGGACGTTGACCAACGATCTTGGTTGGTATCCACGGGCGCATACGCTAGGTTCACGACAGTCTCCCTGCGACCAAACTCGAGACGCGCACCGTCCGTCCCGAATCGCGGGTAGACTATCCAAGCTCTAAACCACTATCTTAAGTTACTAGTAGTAGTCTAGTATATCAACATCTTAAATGTTCTAGGTCTGATTATCAACATCAACATCACATCTTCCCACGCAGAAAATTGCGCACTTCATAACGGAACAACTCAAGGTGGGGTTGATAGGTAGGTAGGCAGGAGGTATTTGAAAAACGATAGGAGGATTAGTAGAGGTACAGTTGGAAAAGGGGGTTGTTGAATTCCCAAAATTTCAATCTTTTTTATTTTTTATATCTTATTTTCTTCTTTTCTGTTTTGATTCAATTTTACTTTTTCTTTTTTTTTTTTGCCTTTTCTTTTCTTCTTCTTCTTCTTTTTTTTTTTTTTTTTTTTTTTTTTTTTTTTCTTTTTTTTTTTTTTTTTTTTTTTTTTTTTTTTTTTTTTTTACTTTTACTTTTTATTATAATAATTATTAAATCTTCCCTCCTTTGGGATTCGCCACAACTGTTGGCGGAGTATTCCGCTCGAGGAAGGCAAGCCAGAAAGGTAAAATAGTAGAGAACGATAGAAAAGAAACTAGGACGACAACAACAGGAGAAAAAAGCACCTTCAGACAAGGAAAGCTTAGCCGGGTTACGAAAGAATAACCACAATACTCCGGTCGACAACCCGAACAACTGAGGGGAAGGGGCCAGAGAAAGGCCAACCACCAGCAAAAGGGAAAGACAGAAAGAGGGAATCAGAAGCAATAGGGAAAAAGATAACTAATTGAAAGAGAAAGCATTACAACGACCACTCTTTTTGAGCCCTGATAATTCATCGAAAAAAGTTGAGTGGGTCAAGCTGTACTTACTGGCTAACGGACCCGTCACCACAAAGCGGCAGCACTCCGCTCCAAGGGCGAGAATAAAGAACCAATCAAAATTATTGCTCCGGGAAGCCCCTCCAATAACACCAGCATTACATTACCAATACCGGCCCCCTCCCTTCATGGTGGTTTTCTATTACCTACATGTTACCAATGAGTACCGGCTTCCCCCTACAGTGAGTGCACCACCACCACCACAACTTTTTTTTTTATCTCTCTTTTTCTTTTTCTTTTTTTTTTTGCCTCCAAGCTCCCTTTTTTTATTATTTTATTTTATTTTATTTCTTTTGTTCTTCCCTACTTTACTTTACTATTCCCTACTCCAGAAGGGAGTTGAAAAATTACGGGGCCCACGCGCGCTCCACCGTATCCTCGGATCCCACGAGGTGCTTCTCTCTAACTTGCGTTTTCCTCCTGCCGAAAAGCCTCTTTGCTGTGTCTGTCCGAAGCCTTTTAGGCCGCGTCCTCTGCCCAGGTCTCTCTTTTTCCGGGTAGTAATCGAACCATTTTTTCCCTCCGTCTTGAATTTAGGGTGACTGTGCTACTTGCGTTGCCACCTAGATCGAGGCATCGCTTTCCTTAGCGCTATCGCGGATTTGACCTGTTGGAATCTTATTTGATTATTACTCGTTTTTGTTCGTCCCGACCAAAGAGACTATTTTGGCCCTGCCCTGGCTGCTTTCTAAACCCTCACCCGCCCCCCCCCTCCCCTCCCTTTCCCCTCCAACCCAAAGCTTGCCCGAGCGCAGACAGGACCGTCCCTTTCCATCCTCCCGCGGGTTCCTCGTGCTGTCGTGCGTGCTTACCGCCACCTGCAAGGCCATTCTCCGTCACCCTAACAGGCGACTAAGGCAATTAAGCATCACGATCCAGCGCTACTTTTTCCCCCGAAAGACCAAATACCTCGTCTCGGTTTTCCTGGTCCTTATTTGCGATACATTATTTTTTCTTCCCTTTTTATCATTTTCTTTTCTCCATTATACCTACTATCCTCCTTCTTTTGCGACTCCTCTCCGCCTCGCGCTCTCTTTCACACTTTGTCAGTGTATTGAAAAAAAAAAAAAAAGAGTCCAAAAATCCATACGCGCCAGATCACGCGTTGGTTCTTTCTTCTCTGTTCCACTTCACTTTCCGTCTTTACAACACAACGCGCCCATTTCAGGACGTGCAGGACCTGGTGTGGAAACTTCCATCAATCACTTCGGTCTTCTATCCCGAATTCACTAAATAGTACGTTCCAACAAGAAAAAAAAGAAAAAGAGAAGAGGGAGGGAAGAGAAAAGAAAAAGAAAAAGAAAAGAAGAAAAAGAAGAACGAGGATCTAACCACCCCCATCCTGATCTTCTCTGCTGTTAGAAAGCAACTCTTCCTTCTCCCCTCCCATTCCATCACTACAACATCTCTTTTTTCATTCCTTGTGAAAATCACCAAGCTCATTGTGTTCTCTCGACGCGTCTGTATAGGCTCGCGTGTTTAGTTTTCTTTCTTTTCTTTTTGGAGGATTGTCAGGGATCTCTCAAACCCCCCCGTTCGCGGCGAAAATTGTATTATATGGACAACAGACCTGCCTCGGAGTACGCGCAGTCAGGTTCGCATTATCCATATCCACCGTCTGCTGCGACCCATTCTGAACTCCCAGTTGCAGACCAGGCTTCTGCTGCTGCCACTGCTCAATACACCCCTCAGACTGAGGTCCGCCCTACTCCTCAGTACACTCCTCAACCCGAGGTCCGCCCCGCCGCCAATATTTCGTCCTCCAACACGCCGCAGTCAGACTACGGTCTGAACCAGCCGCCCGCCGCGCGCTCTCCTGCTTACCACGAGTACATCGGCCGCCCGCCTCAATACCACCACGCGCCCAACACCCAAGCCGGTGGAGCGGCAGGTATGGCTCAAGCAACAAGTCCGTCCATGCACACCCTCAGTGATGGGCAGCACCATGACCATCGCAATCACACGAACCTGAAGTCTGACGCGGCCGTTCCTATAGATCCCTCAATCGCGGCATCCAGCCCCACCTATCCTCCTCCCTACTCTCCCTACCAGCCCCAGGGTCACGATATGGCACAATACCAGGGGCATCCCCCGCCGCCGCCTCAGATGTATACGCGTCCGGAATGGTCGCATGGGTATGGACAACATCAACACGGTCTGCCTGGACCTTATACTACTCCTGCCACAACGGTTGGTCCCGCCTCCCCTGCTGCGACCGCAGGGCCGCGCCCTGGCCAGGTATGTTTTTGATGATTTTGGCGTCTGTTTCCAAGGGCTGCGCACTTGCGTTGGTTTGTTGTCTTGGACGTCCCGCGAGGTGGAGGTCAGGGGGCTTGCTAGCTACGAAGGCTGCCTCGCGGGATGTGGGAAGCGGCGCGCTTTTTCATCTGTTTTTGGCATAAAAAGATCCCAGGCTCATCCACATGCTTTCTCTAGGTATACTCCTTCGTTCCCATCCCTGGCGCGCAGCAGCACAAGCGGCCCCGTCGTCGGTATGAGGAGATCGAGCGGATGTACAAGTGTGGGTGGAACGGATGTGAGAAGGCGTATGGTACGCTGAACCATCTGAACGCCCACGTCACGATGCAGTCCCATGGCGCCAAGCGCACTCCCGAAGGTGAGTTTGTTGGTCGTTCATTTGCGCGTTTTTGCAAGTTGGTCCGCTAGCTCGCATCTGTTGTTTTTGTTGGTCGCGAAACTCTGGATGGGGCTAGTGCGGGTGGCACACGCTAGTCGTGTTACACTACCTTAGCGCCGCGGATCGCAGTAGCGTGACAAGCCGGTGCGGAGGTTAAGCGTCTTCGACGACTCAGTAGCTCCTGTCTATCGCTCCTGACTTGTTCCGACCATCGGCTCGTGCTGCTTCCTGTGCCATCCCCACCATGACTCTCAAACACCCACTCTGCCCCCTTCCAACACATATTCCTTTCTACTGTCTATACGTTGCATCTTATCATGCTAACTGATCCAATGTACAGAGTTCAAGGAGATCCGCAAAGAGTGGAAGGCTCGGAAGAAGGAGGAAGAGGCCCAGCGCAAGGCTGCTGAGGAGCGCGAGCGTGCTGCCGCTGCTCAAGCTGCCCAGGCCAACCAGGTCGACGCACCCAACCCGGCGGATCCCGCCCAGGCTGGACAACCACCTGCCTACCCTGGTGGTGTTCGTCCTCAATTACCTCCCATTGGATATCAACCTGCCGACGGTCAGGTACCGGGGCAGTACGGAGCTGGAGCCGGAGGTATGGTGTATCAGGGCAATGGGCAGATGGCATACCCGCCAAACTACCCTCATT